TGATGTGTGTTGTTGATTTTGCGTAGCTTATTGTAAACGACCCTCACTACAGGTTTGCCAGTAGTCAGGAGTTTGTGGAACGTGGAGAGTGTGTTCATATATGTTTCTTTCCCCAAAGCTTAGAAGAGATTATTCATTATTATCATATAGCCGGGTGGCGTAGACCAATCAGAGGCCTCCGTTACCCGTGCTTTATTCTCCGATAAACCATGGCTCAGCCGTGCGTTATTCTCCATAAACCATGGGTGAAACCATAATGATATAGGGGTACACAGCTCTTTCTGTTAATATTCATAGCAGTTTCCTGGTCAGACAAAATTATGTTTTTTTTAAGCTTCATATAAACTAAAATGTGTGTGAGTATGAAATGTATATGTAAATAGATAGAATTTGAACGGGAGAGCAAAAACCATACTTATTTTGACACCCCTACAAAAAGTGGTATCGCCCACATCACCTGACTGAATCAGACCAGGGATCAGACGATTTATTTTTTTTGGTCCGCCATCTTGCCTTCTTGTGTCATGGAGAGTTTGCCTAATTTCTACATGGAAGAGATAACAGACGCGGATTTAGATGAGATATTTGGACCCATGGAGGTCGAGGAACAGACGCTGGAAGCTACACCGGAGACAGAGGTCAGCAGGGTGCGTTTCGCGTGTCTGAACGAACAACAACTTGGCGAGATAGAGGAGGGGCGAGTTAGAAAAAACTACTGAAAGGGCAACCAAGTGGGGAGTGAAGCTTTTGAAAGGTGGGTGTGTTCTTTTTTCAAGTGATTAGCAGGAATAGAATTACATTTGTTTTGCTAATGTTATTGTTACTGTAATATCGACAGGCTGCCAAATTTATAACAGCCCTGTACTGAACTGGAATTTTACAGCAAATTCTCTGATTTAGAATATAATGTTGATAAGTGTGCCAATATGTTATTGGTAGCTGGAGTCTCGGAGAAGTCAGTATTATTATCAACATCCTGTGGGTGTAGTGGAAAATGAATAAACAAGACTTTTGTTTTTAATATTATGATTTTAGAATGGCTGACAGCAAGAGACTTGGATACAGACTTTGAGGAGCTTCCTCCAGAAAAATGTATTGTTATAATTATTGTAAAATGATCTCCATATTTATTTTAAAGTACAAACCATGATTATAATATTTTGGAATGTATTGTTATGTAAATATTAAAGGTTTAATGTTTTGAACAGGAATTGTGTTGATTCATTGTGTCAGTTTGGATAGGCTATATGATAATAACGTTAATGCACCGCCTTTTCCTCGGTGTATATGGTGTCATAAATGCATGGTCAGCTGCTATAACCACCTCATAAACCACCTCGTTCGCTTCGCTCACTCGGTGGTTTATTCGGTGGTTATAGCAGCTGATCATGCATTTATGACACCATATACACCTCGGGGCGGTGCATTAACCCTTTAGTATCGCCTCACTTCCTGTAGGTCTCGCATCTAAGGTAATAGATATAGACATCCAGATAACGAGAACAATTGAAGACATCTTAAAAGATACCTTCAAGCCAAGACAATTCTTTATTGTTAGATTTTAGGCTACTCGAGTGAGGATAGGGACATATTATCACATTGTTTATTGTTTATTCGAAGGATCTCCATTATACTCGTATGTAGATGACATGAACCTCACCCAAGTCAGATTCCTCCACCAACAGTGTTCACTACAAACCTCCCTTGACAACCTTAGTACCTGGGTCAGAGAACACAAAAGGAAGATGAACTCCCGAAAGTGCAAAGCACTCCACATCTGTTTTGCTAGGACCCCACCCACTCCTGAACCACTCCTGATTGACGGACAGACACTTGAGACAGTTGTTCACATCACAGTCTTGAGAGTGACAATACAGAGTGACCTCAAATGGGACATACAAGTAGACAACATGATCAGCGCCTCAAACAGAAAACTGTTCCTGTCACGCCGACTGAAGAGGTTTGGACTTACTACACAAGACCTCACAACCGTCTACATCGTGTACGTCAGACCCACTATGGAATACGCGGCACTGATGTGGCACCCGGCCTTAACCTGTACACAGTCCGCAAGGCTAGAACGAAACGAGCATGCAGAATCATCCTGGGCACACAGTTCACAGACTACACTTCAGCACTGTCTACACTGAACCTTGACACCTTGGCAGAACGACGTACTCACCTATGCCTCACCTTCGCCAAGAAACTCCTCAACTGTGAATTCAGTGACTGGTTACCCCCATCCCGTAAACAGATATCCGGCAGAAACACACGTAGTGCTAACAAACTGGACACTCCCATCTGTAGAACAACTCGCCACAAAAACTCTGCGATACCCTACATGACAAACTTGCTGAACAAACACTTTAACAGACAATCTGTAAATACCGACTTGACCTCATGAATTGTATTGTATATAGAAGACTATACAATTTTTATCACTTATATTTATTGATTTTAAACCGAATTTGATTGATTGTCTATTTTAACTCCTTAGCGTTTTTAATCTATTTCATTGTAAATACCTGTCAATTCAGACTTACTGTCTGCAAGAAGGTGTGTGAATAACGTTTCAAAGTTTCAAAGTTATGGCGCTTTAACTACTAGTAACGCTACCTGTAAATAGGGATTTCTGATTGGTCGACACCTGGCTATATCATCTCTCTCTCTCTCTCTCTCTCTGGCTCTCTGGCTCTGCCTGTCTCTGTCTATGGCTCTCTGGCTATCTGCCTGTCTGTCTCTCTCACTTTCTCTTTGTGCGTCTCTCTCTCTCTCTCTCTCTATCCATCTATCTATCTATCTTCATCGTCAAAAGCGTGCGTTTCGGAGGTATATTCTTACGGCTCCCTCATTTCTACAGCCCCTCACATTGTGTAAAATTTTATTTTGATCGCTCTTGTACAATACTATTTTAATTTTGTTGCTTTCCATGATCGCTATGGTCACATCTGCCTTCCGTTCAGGAACCCTGGGACATGGCAGTGTTAAGGTGCAGTGCTCTCGCCGTAGAAAGGCTGCCTCATCTGCATTGACTGTTCATAGTAGTCGTTGGCCTGTTTATGATCACCCAGTCGATTCCACTTTTAAAACATATCCATGCTATAGCTAAGATGAGGATTACGTTCATTTATTCATTTATTTATTACGATTGACCACATACATAATATACATGGAGGGCATGGTGGAACAGGTACACCTAAGTGCACCTTTTCAATGCCACCATGCCCACAAATAAATAGACAATGTGCAGAAAAAACAAGAGTTCCGAGATCTCATACCTCCATGAAATATGGGCTTGATATGTAAATGTAAATTTCTTCTTTAATTACGCAAATGACCTCTGCATTAACATAATATATGCATCGTGATGTTAACTTACAGATGTCCCAAGTATGACATTCCCATCATTCGCCATTAAGAAATCATAGAATTTTCGCATTAATTATGCAAATTAGGTCATCATTTGCATAATTAGAATCTGTTGATGTTCCATCTGCCATAGGTTACATACATTACATGTATGAAAGTACTATGATATAAAACACTGTAATTATAGAACGTCCTTATTATTTATGCAAATAAAGTCCTCATTTGCATAACTTAAAAATTATGTACATCTCTCTCAGCTACCTACCTATAAAAAATGATGAAAATACAATGTTCCTATCTGGACTTATTGGCTTTCAAAGATTTTGCCCGAAGGGCCCCTGCAGTTCCAGAACAAGCTGCTAGGGGGACCAAACCTACAACACTCATTCCTGACAGGAAAATCTATCTGTCACCAAAAATTCAAGACCATAGCATGTTCAGGACAAAAGATACAAAAACCGGAAGTTCTGCTGCAGTACCAAGGTCATCCACCAGGAGGCCCATATTTGACCTCGACCTTCGTCTTCCTAAGACTTACCAGCATACCAAATATCATCACAATCCATAAAGGCGTTATGAAGTTATGCTGACTACAAATGTGCGGAAACACAAACACACAGACAGACGCGCCAAAAACAATACCTCCATTTTTCATGGAGGTAACAAGTGGAGTAGGCTTTTTGTTGACTACATATTTGTAAGAAAGACTCCATTTCTGTGATGAATTTCTATCATGAAAAAGAACTCTACTGTATAGCATAGCAATTAAAGCAAAACATCACAGTGACTTGCTGGTTATGGGTTTGGTAATAACATACCGCCAGGGTGACTTGTTAAAAACAAGGGCAAGGGTCTCCATTCTGCATGGTCTTGCAAATTTATTGTACTTTGCACCATGGCAGTAGGGCAAGGTACATGTACATTCACATTTAATCCATATACCTGGGATGCTGAACTCAATAACAAGATAGAAACCATAGGTCTTGTGTCTTGTGAGACAATGAGTATAATGGTATACAGTTTCTTGCACCATTTTCTACATACATTTCTATCTACACTGTTTTTGTAATAGACAGAAACAATCAAAATCTTAGTCATCAAAACCAGACATTCAAAATAACTAGGACAACAAATATACTGGTCCAAAGAGGGACCGTTCCATACAAAAATCTTGCTAAGATCTAGATGTTTTGTCTTTGAGTGAACAGGCTTATAAAATTGATCTGTCGTTTCAGCTGTACTTTACTCTCTCAATAACAGGTTTTGTATTGTTTCCACTATCAGGATCTAAAATGTACAGGTGGGACTTTCCACCCATGGTCATATGGTTTTTGGTAAATCACATGCAACAATGCTAGCCAATCAGGAATGGACAAAAATGCTGAGTCCCATAGCTGTATCTCTAGACAATTATAATATTTTATTGCACAGGGGTTTTCCACCAGTGGTCATGATTATTGGAAAGTCCCTGAGCAAATTAAATACTAGTAATCACAAGATACAGGACTGGTGTGATGGTCAGCATTGTTGTCCAATGCTGATTGGCTAGCCTTGCGTCCAATGTTCATTGAGCCTTGCGTCACTGGGGATTCCCCTTTCTTGCCTTATCTTTCTATAAAGCGAGAGAAAAACAACCTACGGCCTCTTTGCCGCACAGCTTTACAGCTGAAAGCACGCAAGGAGTTGGAGGTAAGCACTGATCCTTCTTAAAGTAAGTTAAGTATAGCTGTTACCGCCTATACAGGAAAACCAACTTTGTATTGGAGCTACATGTACTTCATAGCTGATAGTTAAATATCATTTAGCCAGGGCTTGCATTTTTAGCAAAGTATTATAGGTCACTCTTAATTTAATCATGGACTCCATGATTTAATTTTCTTAATAAGTGTGTTGGGCTCTTCAACATGCAACAGTTTGATGACTTTCTGAATCCACGGGATTTAATCCATGGCAAAGCAACGGGGTTGTATCTTGTATGAAATGTTGTTATTTTGTTTAGTTGACAGAGAATACCGAATATGTTAACCTCACATCACCAGTCACATAGCTGCCATATGTCAGCCGTAGGGGCAATACAACTTTCAACAAACTTTCAATAATTGTGTACTAAGCAATTGTAATCTTAGATACATTTACAAGTTAGATGTGGACCTCCCTTTGGACACTTTCAATAACTGTTCAAACCAAACATACAATCTGTAAGTACAGCAGAGCTACACTGTACATGTATGTTGCGTCAGACACTGAAACTGTTTTTTTCTCATGCCATTCACACTAGGTCACATGGCTTGTACAAATTTGTTCAATGCAAATCTAACATTAATGATTGAAATGTAATATAATACGTCATGCAGCCCTTATCTTCTTGTTAACAGTCACAAAGGGGAATGCCAAGTCGCTACATTTCCCTTAACTGGTAACATTTCCATTAACTTTGTGGTCAAACTCCCCTTGTATATCATTGTGCATAAATTTTACTGTGGAGACTAGCCTTGTGACAGAAGAGGTTGAGTCTTACACGTATAAATGTACGTGTCATGTACAGTACAGATCGCGGGATAAGCATCATCGGGATTCGGTATTTTGTATGATATAAGAATTTGCGGGATATCACGCGAGAGATTGCGGGATCGATCTCCCGCGGTATTCTTTCGGGAGGCCTGTCGTGTCCCGCGTACCGCGTAGTGAAAAGGTTGGTGCGAGACCCCGAAGTCTACCGCGGCTCCGAAAGCCGATGGCGGCGTGCCAAATGTTTATTTTTACGTCCTGCCGGGCGATCTGTGCCGGGTCGATGGAGTCTGACACCAGTCAACTTTTCTACAATTTTAATGGTGGTGAAGCACAGGACTGTACGAAAATAATGTGTATAAGGTGTTTCTCACGCGGTCATAGTTAAACTGCTACTTTTTTCAAAGCTATTGTTCAGCGCAAACTTTAAGAAACTACCGTGAATGAATACAATGTAACGTGTAGTAATAATCCCTTCGTCTCCGGTGCAAGATTTGTTACCAAGAAATAAAAATAATGAAGCGTAGTTCGTGGTTGTTGTGTTTCATAATCTTGTAGCTGTTGAGGTCTTCTCATGGGTAGCTTGCGTCAAGAAGTCTCCGTATTAGTATTAAGAATTGCGACAATTAAAAGTTTGCCCATCAAAATTCCGGGGCGTGCGTCTCCCCCCTCCCCCAAAAAATCTTGCATCAACAACGACCATGTCCATAATTTCATAATCACCCTGAAAGCGAAGTACTCCCACATGGCTGACAAAGTTTCTTTCGGTAGGAAAACATTCTACTTCTGTCACCTGCGGGGTCAGCCAACTAGATGAAAACGGAGTCGTTTTTTTTAACAGAACAACGCTATAACGTAGCGCACGTCCAAGACACGGGAGAACCCGACAAATAAATAAACACGGAAGAACCCGAACTAAACGTGCAAAATTTGACGCAGATTAATTCGTTCTCAGACCATAAAACTTGAAATTCACTCGGTACACTCCGTGGAACTAGCCTCCTCACATGTGAAAAACGTTGTTACCTTCGCCAAGAAGGTTATGTTTTCAGAGTCGTTCGAGTGTCTTTGTGTGTGTGTGTGTGTGTGTGTGTGTGTGTGTGTGTGTGTGTGAGCACGATAACTCAAGAACGCCTGGATGGATTGTCCTGATATTTGGTAGGTGGGTAGGTCTTGATCAGGCTTGATGAGACGTGGAACTGATTAGATTTTGGGCCCCCTAGCGGCTTGTTACGGTACTGCAGCTGAACTACCGGTTTTGATATCTCGTGATCTAGACATGCTAGGCTGACGAAACTTGGGTGGTAGGTAGCTCTTGTGCTGCGGAACAAGTGACGTGAGTTTGAGTCCCCTAGCTGCTTGCTCTGGAACTGCAGGGGCATTAGGTGAAAAATGTTTAAAGGCGGATAATTCAAGAACCGATTAATGGATCGTTGTGATTTTTGGCATGTAGGTAGCTGAAGTGATGCTTGACATAATGATATTACAATTATGCAAATATTAATATAATATGCATAATTAATGAGGAAATTCTATAAATCAGCTGCATTCTATGATAGGACTATTCAAGCTTGTGACATATGTAATTGAGAACGGCAAAAATACAGGCAGATATCGATTATGCAAATGAAGACTTAATTTGCATAATTAATGAGAAAATGTTATAATTACATATTGGTAATGTCTGGAATTTCATACTTGGGATATTTGAAAGCTATGTGAAGGTGAACATAGTTAAATATAACTTATTCAAATAAGGACCTCATTTGCATAATTTATGAGGACATGCTATAATGGTATGCATTGATAAGATAAGACTGTCTTCTGGTGTAGAATATGATCAACAGATATAATTGATGCAATATAGGATCCTATTTCACAATCAGGGGGGTTAATCTATAATTTCTTAGTCATAAAGGCTAAAGGCCCGGTCACACTGGGTGAACTTTGCTATAGCGTTCCTTGAGCGGTGAATAAAATTCATCACCGCTCGAAACCGCTCACCACCGCTAAACAGAAGTTGGCCCCCGTTAAAGCAACGCCGTGTACGCCCGGCCACCGCTGATGTGTCTGGAGGGGCCCTCCTACCGCTCCGAAAGTTTTGAGCTGCACAAAATATTGCGAGCGGTGAGGAGGGGGAAATTTTCCGCTCCGGCAAAGTTCATCCCCGCTCCACCAACGCCCAGTCAAAGTTTGGCATCGCTAGACGCAAGTTCGTGGACGCTTGGGTCCGCTAGGCCAACGCAGAAATCTTGAACGCTTGACCACCGCTGCTTCGCCAGCGTTGCCCGGGCGGCGATTAAACGTTGCACAAACGTTGCACAAACTTCGCTGGAGCGGTTGCAAGCGTTTTACGAGCGGACACGGGGTTGCTGGAACGGTGTCAGGCGTTGAAGCAGCGATCCATGTCGGCAATGAACTTTGGTTTGGCGTTGGTATAGAGGTGTCGGAGCGGGACCAGAATTTGGCTATAAGTACGGTGAGGAATGGACCAGGTGCTCATTTGGAATCGAGCTGCCGTTGAGTTCAGGCCTCATCTATATCAAATTTGCTCGAAGTTACAGTAAAACTGTATCACCCTGGATGCTGAGAGACTTGCTATGATTGGTGCACTAGTGTGCAATTATTTTGGGGCCACACGTAAAATGTTCAAAGAAGGGTCACACGGGCAATCACTTTATTAGGGTCACAGGGGAACTTTGCAATCTGCGAAGTTTTATTTTCATTATTAATTAAATAACGTAGTGAAGAATAGATTAACAAAATGATGTTTATTAAAGCTATAAGTCCCCCCACACACAGAACAGAACTTGTACTACTACAAAACGATCCGTTCAACTCCGTAGTCACAAGCGGTATGCCGCTAAACCGCATGCGCAGAACGCCGCTATACCAACGCTTGCGTCACCGCTATACCAACGTTCGCTACCGCTAAACCAACGCTAAAGCAACGTCTTCAGCGGTACACCGCTAAGTCAACGCCCGTGTTTTATTTTTTTCCACATTTTGGGCGCGGTGACGAGCGTTGTCGAAATTCGGCCCCCGTCCCTACCGTTAAAGGAACGCTCCAGCAAAGTTCGGCCAGTGTGACCGGGCCTTAACATCATTTGACGAAGGTATGAGATCGTGGAACTTTAGTTTTGGGATGAAATCGGGATATAAGAAAATTACAATGCCGCATGCCGGCCGTGCAGCGCGGAAAAAGAAGCTACAATCCGACGTATAACAATCGTCAGGCGGTGTTTCTGTGGGGCGGCGCATCTGACTCAACTCTTTGCATTCGCGGCCCAGCTGGTGGGCGGGTCCCCGTCTACGCGCTGTGTCAGAACGCAACGTGGTCAGGCGGCGCCGGGGAGTCTACCAGCGCCGCCACCGCCGCTGCCTACACGCGGTTTCTATGGCGACGCGGCGTTGGAACGCCCGGCCCAACACTGGGGGCCTGCATGCCCTTTTTCGTAAGGCGTAATCAAGCCTTTTTTTTATTAATTACCTCCATGAAAAATGGAGGTATTGTTTTTGGCGTGTCTATCTGTATGTCTGTGTGTCTGTCTGTGTGTCTGTCTGTGTGTGTGTTTGTGTTTCCGCACATTTGTAGTCAGCATAACTTCATAACGCCTGTATGGATTGAGATGATATTTGGTATGCTGGTAAGTCTTAGGAAGACGAATCGAAGGTCAAGGTCAAATATGGGCCTACTGGTGGATGACCTTGGTACTGCAGCAGAACTTCCGGTTTTTGTATCTTTTGTCCTGAACATGCTATGGTCTTGAATTTTTGGTGACAGATACCTTTTCTTGTCAGCAATAAATGGTGTAGGTTTGGTCCCCTAGCAGCTTGTTCTGGAACTGCAGGGGACCTTCGAGCAATATCTTTGAAAGCCAATAAGTACAGATAGGAACAACGTATTTTCATCATTTTTGGTAGGTAGGTAGCTGAGAGAGAGATGTACATAATTAAATTCAAATTATGCAAATGAGGACTTTATTTGCATAATTAATAAGGACATTCTTTAATTAGTGTTTTACATTATAGTACTTTCATACATGCAATGTATGTAACCTATGGCAGATGGAAAATCAACAGATACTAATTATGCAAATGATAACCTAATTTGCATAATTAATGCGAAAATTCTATGATTTCTTAATGGCGAATGATGGGAATGTCATACTTGGGACATCTGCAAGTTCAAAAGTTAACATCACGATGCATATATTATGTTAAAGCGGAGGTCATTTGCGTAATTAAGAAGAAATTTACATTTACATATCAAGCCCGTATTTCATGGAGGTATGAGATTTCGGAACTCTTGTTGTCTTCGTAAACCGTAGGCAACCTTCCCAAAAATCAACGTAATTCGTAATCAGTACATTAGCCGCAAAGCGTTAAGACGTAATCAGCTCTGAAACTATAACTTTACAGCGCAAATTTTGCGTAATTCGTAATCACTAACCCCCATGCAGGCCCTGAACACTGCGTGGCGTGGCGCACGAAATGTATCAAAATTTGAGGCGTAAAGAACCCTTTAATTATGCTTCGCCCCCTTGTTTTACACAATGTTTAATCTCTCTTCCGTAACTCCATACGTCAACCTCCCCTATCTAGAAGAAAAAATAAAGAATTTGAGTGACGATATGGCACGTCGATGCATTAGATTTTTTTAAAATTAGATCTGAGATAGCGCGGGTCGGGTGACATCAAAATAAAGCCGTCCACGTCGCAAGGTCGGACACAAAAATTGTTCAAGAAGGTTGTATTACTTTGTTATCTGTACCTTATTTTAAGCCACCTGATTTCCGACATTAAAAAAGAAATGTTTGGTTAACAACACTATCTATTTGCTCTACTGTTATTTTCATGCATTGACTGATTGAGAACATACTAAACATGCACGTGTAACTATGTACGAGTAAAAATCTGTCGTCAACTTGGTTCAAGTAACAGCGGCGCCGGCCCTTCGGAAACCCAAGGTCTCACACCAAAGATCGGGTTACGGGAGAGAATTTGCGTACCGCGGGATATCCCGATAAATCCCGCAGGAGATCCCGCAAACTCCCGCAGGAGATCCAGCAAACTCCCGCAGGAGATCCCGCAAACTCCCGCAGGAGATCCCGCAAACTCCCGCAGGAGATCCCGCAAACTCCCGCGTGATATCCCGCAAACCCCGCGGGACTTGATGCTTATCCCGCGAACTGTACTGTAGATCTGTCATAGCCTTATTTAACTACGTCATGTACCATCTGGTATCTATCCTCCGACAAAGTCATGTAACAAATGTGACTGCACATATTATGTTATCACTGTTACGAAAATGAAAAAGTGATATGATTATGACACAAATAAATACACACACAGTCATGTACAATGTACAATGTACAATGTACAAAGAAATTTTCAAACATTCAGATTGAAGAGTTAAAACATGCCTACTCAGCTACGGAGAGTGGAAATGGCAGAAAATATATATCTGGAAAACCTTTTCTTAAAACAAGAGTTCCGAGATCTCATACCTCCATTTCAACATGTCCTCATCAATTATGCAAATAACATCTACATTAACATAATATATGCATATATGGTGCTTACCTTTAAGTAACTTACACATTTGTCTTCCTAAGACTTATCAGCATACCAAATATCATCACAATCCATAAAGGCGTTATGAAGTTATGCTGACTACAAATGTGCGGAAACACAAACACACACAAACACACACACAGACAGACACACACACACACTCACTCACACACACACACACACACACACACAGACAGACACACACAGAGACACACACAGACACGCCCAAAACAATACCTCCATTTTTCATGGAGGTAATGAACTTCTTGCAAGACAATCTAATTACCACCATGCTTTTCTTTCCAGAGGATAGAGTCGGCCTGGGGCCCAGAACCTGAGAGGGATGGACATGAACACCATGCTATCTCTTTTGATAGCAATCATCGCGCTAAATCTTTTGACAGCAATGGTTACCGGTAACCACACTTACTCCATCACTGTTATAAGTCATATACTATGTGTCACTATTCTGGACAAAGTTTGTTAGATTTCTATAATTTCTTGCCATAACTGCACTTTGGTACTGTTCTGTTATGTTCCATAGTGGAACATACACATTTTATTTTCGTTGCTGATAGTAGAACTAGCAAGTCTAGACAACAAATCTCAGCTTAAGTGTTCAGTAATAAACTATCTACTAGTTAGTAAATGCCAAATAAGGCCACACAAATTTGATTTTTTGGTTCTCTAATTTTTGCAGAAACAAATTGAAGCGACAGGGTGAAAAAATAAAAACGGACTTAGGCATCCTCGGATATTCAACATACCAAGCTGGTAGATGATTCAAACAATGAATTTTAATTTAAACAAGAAGCCATAGGTGACAATCCTCCGTGAAGTTTTATATATTTCAACAAAATCCCAAGCGTCAACGCCAGACCTACTGTGCAGACATTATAATTAGGCAACGGTTAATACAATGAGGTCGCGTCACAAGCATAAAACATACAAAGAGCTAAATCCATTACTGCTCCCAGGGCGTGTAAAGATACTGTGCTTCAAGTTCGAAGTTCATTTTAATTACACACACACAATCATTGCATTCACATAAAGATCGGGCTATCATGGTCGTGTCTAGTAACAAAGACAGCCCCACCGTCTTACCGTGCCTGTACCTAATTAAGCGCGCCTGGAACAGGCCAAATTCCAGCAACAGTTGCGGTAATAAGCACCGCGAGTGTTACTACCGCCGGCCAGATAACCAGGATATCTGCTTAGAGTACCTCTGCTACCAGACAACTGCCTAAACCTACGGCCTATTCCACAGGATTGTAAAAGTAGGGATGTTTCTAAAATATGCATTTACTTCAATATCAAAACAACTACGGTAAAAATAAAAAGACGTGCATCATCCCGGACATAATGCCACACCACATGCGAAATTACACAGAAATGCGACGTACGGAAGAATGCGTTTTGGCTGCGAACATCTTCCAAAAAACTTGCCATCTCTTAAGCATGGGCAAAAACACTTGGAACCACTTATCAAAACCACCCCGTATCTGCATGAAGTTCCACCCCCCCACTGCTATTCCAAACAACGCGTTTTTCTGGACCATTCCAATTCGCCTCGTAATTGTAGGGGTGCGTCTGCAATATTACATTGACCGCGAAAGCAGCAACGGCAAAAATACACATTCGTGCATCAACACGGGCATGCCCGCAGAAGGCGTATAAAATTGCGTGCCGATTACACAAAGAGAACCCAGTGTTTTTACTGCGAACATGAAAAATCAGCCGATCACAACACTCCGTCCGGAGGTCCTGACCTCCTTCACGGAGTAATAACACTTTAGCAAAACAATGCCTTTATAGATGGAAAAACCGGAACAACTGGGAAAGACAAGAGCTTTCTTTTAGTGTTTGGGCCAAAATAAAGCAGTTGGGGCTTGATTCAGAACCTAAATATTTTTTTTTTTAAATCAGAAAAAAATGAAGCGGGGGAATCCAAGAGTCAATTGATTAAATTGGTGTGGCCTAAAGCATTTTTTACCCTTTCTTTTTATGTTGCAGGGGTGTACCTACTAGCACTTATACAAGTACTACAATTTGTACTAGTACTGGTATCAGTATTATTAGAATGCCTGCCAGGGGACAAGGAGGTATGTCACATATGATACATCCTTCTCTTGATGACTTCATCTTTAAACTACTGACTGTATAACCTTGAAATTTTTCAAGTGATACTCAATTGTCCATAATTTGCAATGTAAGCTTTGTTTATTACCTCCATGAAATGTGTCATGGAGGTTATATTTTCAGTTGCGTTTATCTGTCCGTCCGTCCGTCTGTCCGTCTGTTGGTCAACAAGATAACTCAAGAACGCCTGGATGGATTGGTTTCATACTTGGTGTGTTGGTAGGGTGTGACGAAAACTGGAAATAATTAGATTTTGGGCCCCCTAGTGGCTTCCCTTGGTACTGCAGCGCAACTTCCGGTTTTGATATCTCGCGATCTGGACATGCTAGGGTCATGATATTTGGATGGAAGGTAGCTCTTGTCCTCGGGAAGAAGTCACGTGAGTTTGGGCCCCCTAGCGGCTTGTTCTGGAACTGCAGGGCACTTTCTGGCGAAATGTTTAAAAGCCAATAAGTCCAGACAGGAACAACATATTTTCATTATTTTTGGTGTGTAGGTAGCTGAGAGAGAGATGTACATAATTAAATGCAAATTATGCAAATGAGGACTTAATTTGCATAATTAATGAGGAAATTCTATAATTACAGTGTTTCACATTATACTACTTCGCAACCTATGGCAGGCGGAACTTCAACAGATACTAATTATGCAAATGATGACCTAATTTGCAAAATTAATGCGAAAAGTCCAGACAGGAACAACATATTTTCATTATTTTTGGTGTGTAGGTAGCTGAGAGAGAGATGTACATAATTAAATGCAAACTATGCAAATGAGGACTTAATCTGCATAATTAATGAGGAAATTCTATAATTACAGTGTTTTACATTATACTACATACATACATGTAATGTATGTAACCTATGGCAGGCGGAACTTCAACAGATACTAATTATGCAAATGATGACCTAATTTGCATAATTAATGCGAAAAATGTATGATTTCGTAATGGTGAATGATGAGAATGTCATACTTGGGACATCTGTAAGTTAATCAAAAGTTAACATACATCACGATGCATATATCATGTTAATGCAGAGGTCATTTGCACAATTAAAGAAGAAATTTACATTTACATATCAAGATCATATTTCATGGAGGTATGAGATCTCGGAATTCTAGTTAAATTAATATTAATCATTTTTCAATGTAGACGCAAGCAAAATTTCAACATCTTATCTCGTACAGCTGGAAGATTAAATATGAAAGTATAAATTGGTTAAGATGATGATGAAATTAATAATGCATGTTCAAGATTTCTTATCATGTGTTTCTACAGGTTATTAAAAGGCGGAGAAGATCTAGAGGTAATACCACTTTTACTCTAGTAGTAGGAGATTTCAGTTTGGCTTCTTGTATAAAAAAGTTTCTCCCAAAAGAATGGCCTTTCACTGAACTATGGCACCATGCCAACAAAAAGGTCATCAGATTTCACCAGTATGAAACTCCCACCCTATAGGAGTGTTCTTCTGGATACATGCTGGGTACTTCATATTTGATTCTCGGTAATATAGTCTCGGCATTGACTGAGGAGAGGGGCAAGTTCATTTTTAACAGGAACTTTTTATGTGGCTTCCTGAATGAAAATTGTTATCTCAACACAATGGCATTTTTTCTGTTTTTTTGGGCAGTACAATGTAACTCAGCGTGTAGCTTATTAGTAACTTATTAGATTATCTCTATCCTGAGTATGAAACTCTCCAGACAGCCTCATCCTAAAAATAGTCTTTTACTTTCATTTATTTATCTATTTATTTCTGTTTTATTTAAACAGGGTAGAGACCTCAATTCTATTTTAAAACACTGCTTTTCAGGAATGCCCTGTACGTGACAAACAGTTACACATGAAAACATTTAAGCCAACACATTAAACAACACATGAAGTTACAAAACAACGAAGCGTCAAAACAAAATCGTTAACCGTTAATCAATGTCGTTAAGCCAGGCCATAGTTAGGAGATCAGAGGTCAGCAGTGTTGTTTTAGAACCTTCTTGAACGACAGATAAGACGTGGCCACTCTAACTGTGGCAGGTAGGCCGTTCCAGGCAAATGCTCCCCTATACGCAAAATTTCTTCGGCCGGATTCCAGTCGGACTTTAGGAATTCGAAGTTTTAAAGATAAGTTTGAGTTATGCCTAGTTTGGTAGATATGACATGTTCTACACAATATCTATGTGACATACGTGGTATACCAAGAACGTTATAGCCTTGCAGCACGATTCTGAAGTTTTTGGAGCTTGTCTGAGAGAGATTGGCCACAGTTGGCCCATACAATGTCACAATATACAATCTTTGGAAGAATCATACAATTAAACAGCATAGAAATGATCTGTGGTGGTAGAATTGGCACTAGACGTCTTAACACCCCTAGCCTTGAGGACACTGCATTGCAAAGCTTGTTAATATATATGCTCCATGTAATACAGGGGTCAAACCAAACACCTAGATATTTACCTTCGCCAAGAAGGTTATGTTTTCAGAGGCGTTCGTGTATGTGTGTGTGTGTGTGTGTGTCTGTCTGTCTGTAAACACGATAACTTGAGAAGGCCTTGATGGATTGTCTTGATACTTGGTAGGTGGGTAGGTCTTAATGAGACCTCAAAACGATTAGATTTTGGGCCCCCTAGCAGCTTGTTACGGTACTGCAGCTGAACTTCCGGTTTTGATATCTCATGATCTAGACATGCCAGGGTGACGAAATTCGGATGGCACGTAGCTCTTGTGCTAGGAAAGAAGTGACGTGAGTTTGGGCCCCCTAGCGGCTTGCTCTGGAACTGCAGGGTTATCTGTTTGAATATATTTAAAAGAGAATAACTCAAGAACCGGTTGACGGATCGTCGTGATTTTTTGTATGCAGGTAGCTTACGTGATGCTTAATATAATTATGTGACAATTATGCAAATATGGATGTAATTTGCATAATTTATGGAGAAATTCTAGAAATCAGCTGCATTCCATCATAGGACTATTGAAGCTTGTCGCATTGGTAATTGAGAACGAGATAAACACAGGCAGATATTGATTATGTAAATGAAGACTTAATTTGCATAATCAATGAGAAAATGTTATAATTCTGTAATGATAACTGCCTGGAATTTCATACTTATGGTCTTTGAAAGTACAGTGAAAGTGAACATCATTAAACATAATGTATTCAAATCAGGACCTCATTTGCACAATTTATGAGGAAATGCTAGAATGGCATTGTTTGTTAATATAAGACTGTCTTTTGGTTGAGAATATGATAAACTGATATAATTCATGAAAATGAGGATCCTATTTGCACAAGCAGGGGGAATAATCTATCATTTGTCAGCCATAAAGATTAACATCATTTGGCGAAGGTATGAGATCGGGGAACTCTAATTGAAACATGAAACCACTTCTAAGTACGTTCCAGAAAGAGTAAGACTTAGTTCTTCATTATCTAGACGCAGCCTTCTCAGAGTGCCGAAAAGCATAGACTTACATTTGCCGACGTTAAGTGTCAGTCTGTTAGCATTCAGCCACCTGTCAATATTGCGGAGGTCAGCATTTAAGGCTGACCTCCCAATAAAGCTGTTTATCGCGGAGGTCAGCCTTAAGCCCGTGTCATCAGCATAGATTACTATCTGGCCATTGGTTATGTAGTTTGGCATGTCATTTATATATAATATGAATGAAAGTGGCCCAAGAACAGAGCCTTGTGGGACACCTTTAGCTATACCAAGGCAGTCACTAGTGATGCCGTCTACAACAGTTACTGTTACCTGACATCTGTGTGAAAGGTATGACGTAAACCAAAACAATGCTCCGGGCTAGTTGTTATGATTACATCAATGCATGTGGAAGAGTTTTCAGCAATACGTGTAGGCTGGTCTATAAGCTATTGGGCATGAAATAAGTTACAGAAATTATCAATCTTCTTACTTGAGCTTTTACAGAGAGTATCATAATTCATTTTCAAAACTTTTTGGGACATACAATGTAGTTTACTTAATATCATTTGATTCTAGCTGTAGTTCTCATTGTCAGACAATTCAACTTAAACTCGCTGCCAGTCTTTCAATTGAAATTGTTATCAAACTGATAGAAATCGTACTTCATTCTATCAATCTTAAGAGAATATCACAAAATAATATATAGAGAAAGAGACACATTGCATATTTTTTACAATTACAACAAGTTTACATAGCAAATCTCAGCTAACTGAAGTGTTCTGAACCAGCATCTACTGGTAGATACAAAATATAGCATTTCTTACCTCTCCTTTTTATGTTACAGAACGACTGGAAGAACTCGAACAGGTAGGGCAAAAACAATCATTGTGTAAATGATTCTATCTTTTAACTTTTAAAAAACAGTTAAAAGTTACACAAATCAATGGACAACCAAAGACTAAATTCCATCGCAATTGTTGGAAAAGTTACACAAATCAATGGACAACCAAAGACTAAATTCCATCGCAATTGTTGGAAGAACATACAAATTAATGTACATGTGACAGAAATTTTGACAAAACTACATGTACATTGTAGCAGGTGAAGAATTTTATGATACAGACCTGAACAAACCATTGCTGGAGGTAGGACATATATGATCATTGTCTTTATAGTTTTAATCTTTGAACTATTACCATACACGTCACCCACTTTGGTCATTCCAAACACAGTCTAGTTTGAGAAACAGCTAAAAGTTTATAAACCAACAGACTGAATTTTGGACAACCAAGGACTTTTCAGAAGATGTAATGAATTTACAACAACATAATTGACCAGCATAGATATGAGGAAATTATGATATCTTCTTGTGTTTACAAATTTTAATGTAATGGATGTTTATTGTATCAAATATTAAGTCTTACAGCTTATGAACTGCAAAATGGCACCAAAATGACATTTGGAAGTTTTAACATCAACTTTCATAATGTTGCTAATAGATGTTTACTGCAAATTGTCAAGTAACATTCAAGTGTCCATAGTTTTCAGTGTACGCTTTGTTTATTATATTACGCATTTTTCAATTTAGACATTAAATTCAATTAGATATGAATGTATGAATTGGTTAAGATAGTGATGATGATGAAATAAGAAGTGCGTGTTTAAGATTGTAAACAGTTCTTTCTTATCATGATGTGTTTCTACAGGCAATGAGAAGGCTGGAGATTATTATAGGTACATGTAATACCACTTTTACTAGGAGATTTCAATGTTGCCTCTTGAATAAAAACGGTTATAAAAACAAAATAATGGCCTTTCACTACACTATGGCACCATGCCAGCAGAAAGATCTTCAGATTATGAAAACTTCCTCCCTGTGAATCAAGCGTGGATCTAGTGGGGGTGCACCCGGCACAGTAAAAACATAACACAAAGAATAGGGAGTTACGTAAGGTTCCAGCAGGCCCCATTAGATGTGTGTCATCCGCTGACACGCGGTGTTCTGGTATTTAGTATTCTCCAGGGCCTATAATTTCTAACATTATGTTAACTCTTGAAAAGGGTTGACACGATTTTTGACGATAAGATTATACACCAGAGAGCCTATTTTAAAAATTTCCTGGGCGAGGCCCCCAAGACCCCTCTGCGAGAGCCCCCCTCCCTCTTCAGGTGGGGGGGGGCATTCACAAATTTCTGGGTCCACCAATAGGAATGTTCTGGGTACATACTGGGTACTTCATATTTGGTTCTCAGGGTATAGTCTCCACTGATATATGTCATTGACCGAAACTAGAATGGTGTTCGCCTGTGTGTCAAGGGAGTTTCAGCCAAATCCCATTTAGTTAAAAAGGTGGTCATTTTGGTTACAAGAAGGTACAGTAAATTTGTGGCTCTTGTTGTAGTATTTGAGTTGGGCCTATCACAGAATTCCGGTTTGCATTTCTATTATATTCTGCCAGTTTCCATTTACTTTGCTAAAAATGTTACGACTGCTAAAACCTGCAACCTTTTAGCGGTCAACAAAAATGGCCAAAGCTAGCTCGTCGACAATTTGACGCAGACATAATAGATCTATCTACTACATGTAGTTAGTAGATGCCAAATAAGGCCAAATGAATTTGATTTGTTGGTTCTAAGACTTTGGAACAAAAAATATGATTCAACTGGGAAAAAGAAATAAAAACAGACCTAGGCATCCTCTGATAGTCAACATAACTAGCTGGTACATGAAAATTCAAACAATGAATTTTAAACTTTTTAGCAAAAACCAGTGCATTGATAGATGGAAAAACTGTAACGACTGGGAAGACAAGAGCTTTCTTCAATTGTTTGGGCCAAAATATGAGCCATCACTGTCTTGTCCTTTACACCAACAGACTCAGTTATTTACGTTCCGTAGTGTCCCCTCCTTTAGTTACCCTTTTTTTTATTTATACCGGTCACTTGTTTTGTAATTAACACATGTACATGTGCAGCTGCTAGTAATCCAATGTAAATTGGGCTCAGCAGTACTTAAGATGATGATGATGATCACACTGCGCAGACTGCTAATAATCCACCAACGGCGGGATAAGCAGTAACGAAGATGAAGATGAAGATGATAATGAATCAGATGATGATTTGGGACTTGATTCAGAAACTGAACCTTTTTCTTTTGTTTGGAAAATCAGAAATTTTAAATTTTTTTTTACCTCTTCTCTTTTGTTGCAGGTGATGCACTCAGTGTAGTATGTGTAGTATGTGTAATGCTACTGCTAACATGCCTGGTAGTAAAATACCTGGACCATGAGGTAGGTCATATATGATAAATCCTTCTCTTAATGACTTCATCTTTAAATTACTGAGTGTATAACCACACATGTCACAACACCACTAATAGTTCATAAACCAACAGACTGAATTTTGGACAACCAAGGACTTTTCAGCAGATGTACTGGATCTCCTAGAACACACATGTAATTGACCAGCATAGATATGAACAAATTATGATATATTCCTGTGTTTACAACTTTTAATGTAAGCAATTGTTATTATTATGAATAATATAACTTACAACTGTGAACTGCAAAATGACATTTCGACATTTCGTTAACATCAACTCTCATAATATTGCTACTAGATGTTTGTAATTGTCCATAGTTTTCAATGCAAGCTTTGTTTATTGAAAAATGATCAATATTAGTAATACATTTTGTAATTTAACATAGACCTGAACAAACTTTCAAGATCTTAACTTGTACAGCTGAAAGATGAAAAAGGAATGTATAACTTGGTTAAGATGACCATATGTATCAGGAAAACCCCTTCTTAAAATGAAATTCTGCCAAGACAATCCAAGGTAAAACTTTTACATATTAAAACCACCATGATCTTCTTTCCAGAGGATAGAGTCGAACTGGGACCTAGAACCTGAATGGGATGGACATCATCATCGAGCTATTTCTTTTTCGAGATATAACATATGTAAGTTATGATATACAACTGTTATAGTAACTTCATAATTATTATAGGTCATATACTGGATATACTGGGTGAAAAATATTTTTGAATCTGGAGCCCTTGTATTAAATTCGAATGACCTGAAATTCGGTATGGGGATACTTTGGACACATGTCCACAGGATGTTATTCACACTTTTGACATAAACCTCTTTGAAATAGTGTAAAATAGGACTTTTTTGCTATTTCCGACGAAAAGTGTACATTTTTGTACCGGTACCACCTGTGTTAAACACTAGGTCGGAATGGACCTATACCATTATTTCGTCACAGTTTGTTGCCGCAATGAATGCCGGTTAATCGACGTTTATATTGTACAGGGGTGCGTAGCGCGGTGTGTGTTTGTGTAGCGTTAGCCTAATATAAGGCTTTTAATACTGTACTACTTTCGTCTAATGTCACAACTAAATCACCCATGCGGCATGTAATGCTGTGTCAACACAACTAGACGCAGCAAAAATCAGACATACCTGACTTTGAAAACTTTGAAATGATCTTGATTCTTTGACCGTTCTAGAATGTTCTTTAGAACAGGTAAACAAACTGTGACGTAATAATGGTATAGGTCCATTAGTGCACCCCTATTGTGATAATTATATAAAACGTTCCACCGGCAAGATGACCAAAAACCTGCCGTAAGTTTCGGTTGCGGTTTAGGGCGAAACGCGTTCTATGGAACATTTGGAAGCCCCGGGCCGTACGTGTTAAGAACCCCCGGGCCGTACCGCTTGTTATCACAAGGGCCGGAACACCCGTATTGAATGTAATCGCGGCCCAGGTAGGACATAAATATAGAATACAACACGGGGTATTCCGTATCGCCCGAGGTACCAGCCCGACCGCGGGTCGGATCGCCCGACGGCCGAAGGCCGGAGGGATTTCCGATCCGCGGGAGGGCTGGGACCGAGGGTGATGCGGAATACACCGTGTTGTATTTTATTTATGTCATACCCACCCAAGACAACACGTCTTTCAATGCGAAATGAGCGAAAATTTGGTGTCCCTAAACCCAAAAAATGCAATAACATCAATTCTAACGTCCGAATTTTGTGTTCGAATTTTCGAAAGCGGTGCACGCGGTATACATAATACGGAATACACCGTGTTGTATTCTATATTACGAAAGACCAAAGTAACAACTTCAACAAGGCTTCATCGGGTCAGTTTTCACCGTTCAAAACCCATTTTCACCCTTCAAAACCCAATTTTCACCCTTCAAAACTTAATTTTTCACCCTTCAAAACCAAATTTTCACCCTTCAAAACCCAGTTTTCACCCTTTAAAACTTAATTTTCAACCTTCAAAACTCAAATTTTCACCCTTCAAAACCCAATTTTCATCGTTCAAAACTTAATTTGTCACCCTTTAAAACTCAAATTTTCACCCTTCAAAACCCAATTTTCACGCTTCAAAACTCAATTTTCACCCTTCAAAACCAAATTTCCATCGTTCAAAACCAAATTTTCATCGTCCAAAACTCAAATTTTCACCCTTCAAAACCCAATTTTCACCCTTCAAAACTCAATTTTTCACCCTTCAAAACCAAATTTTCACCCTTCAAAACCCGATTTTCATCGTTCAAAACCCAATTTTCATCGTTGAAAACTCAAATTTTCACCCTTCAAAACCCAATTTTCACCCTTCAAAACTCAGTTTTTCACCCTTCAAAACCCAATTTTCACGTTCAAAACTCAATTTTTCACCCTTCAAAACCAAATTTTCACCCTTCAAAACCAAATTTTCATCGTTCAAAACTCAATTTTTCACCCTTCAAAACCCAACTTTCACCCTTCAAAACTCAAATTTTCATCGTTCAAAAGACTCGTCCCCAGAATACTATGGTTGGCTCTTCCCAGTATGCTTTGCGTGGAGAAAAATAATGTGGTCTCTTTCCCATGGCAGTCAACTACAAACGCGAATACACTAGTGTTATTCGCTGCAGTCTCGCCGTGCCCAGAACGTAATTATATATTATATCGGACGCTGAGGAAGGAAAACATTTCCAACACCCAAGCACGATTTTCAACCGGTTAGTTAGTTAGAATGGGGAGGGGGGCCGGGGGCGTTTCTAAGTACTTTGACTAAGTTAGAGCAGTTTTTTCGTGTTTATAAATTATGTTGTGGACAGAGTCCGACCATGGAGCTACCTCCATGGTCCGACCAAGGACATTATACACACAGGACATTATACACACAGGTGTTACATTTGTGTATAATGTCCTTGGTCCGACAGACTGTTGTTGGTTTCTTGTAACCCCAAAACTTACTGCTCCATTGGTTTTGGAACTACTTGTATTTGTTTTGAGTGGCGGACAGACGTATATTTTCCGACATAAATTCCCAACTATTTTCCACTGACACAGTTCAAGAGTCTCCAAATTGTTACATAACTGTTTGGCGCGATCACAAGCTAATCTTACCCATTGCATTCTAAAGTTGCAGCTTCTGCTGACCCAAACTTTTTACACTTTTCGTAGCCCACATTTTGTTGCTTATGCATAGAGCTCATTGTAATTCATTCATTAATGTGCACAGATTGTCTCACCGTTCCTTGGCTTTTCTTATTCATTTCCACCCTGCTCTTTCTCACTTCTCAAATTGTTGTGAACTACCGGTATCCTACCTTCCCCAAATGTATCATCCTATATGCTGTCTGTTGCATTGTTATGAATATGATATGACATGTTTTGACTTGCGGATAATTAGAATGTGGAGGGGAGTGTTTCTACTTTTACTCTAAGTTTAGTAACGGTTCGGTTTTTTCGTCTGAATTGTTGTGGTCAAACTGTGAATGGGGCTGCCTCTCCACCGAAAGTTCCCCAGAGCCAAACAGTTATATAACAATTTGGAGAAACTGTGTCAGTGGAAAATAGTTGGGAATTTATGTCGGAAAATATACGTCTGTCCGCCACTCAAAACAAATACAAGTAGTTCCAAAACCAATGGAGCAGTAAGTTTTGGGGTTACAAGAAACCAACAACAGTCTGTCGGACTCTGTCCACAACATAATTTTATAAACACGAAAAAACTGCTCTATTTAAACTTAGTCAAAGTACTTAGAAACGCCCCCGGCCCCCCTCCCCATTCTAACTAACTAACCGGTTGAAAATCGTGCTTGGGTGTTGGAAATGTTTTCCTTCCACAGCGTCAAATTTAATATATAATTACGTTCTGGGCACGTCGAGACTGCAGCGAATAACACTAGTGTATTCGCGTTTGTAGTTGACTGCCCTGGGAAAGAGACCAAAAGGGTTTGTAGTTGACTGCCCTGGGAAAGAGACCACATTATTTTTCTCCGCGCAAAGCATACTGGGAAGAGCCAACCATAGTATCCTGGGGACGAGTCTTTTGAACGATGAAAATTTGAGTTTTGAAGGGTGAAAATTTGAGTTTTGAAGGGTGAAAATTGGGTTTTGAAGGGTGAAAAATTGAGTTTTAAAGGAGTACTAACCTCCAGAAAGACGTGCTATTTTCCTATACATCATGCTGCAATGAATACATAACTAGCCGACTTTTTACATAATTTCGCTTGTACGACTTGCGCAGCGCATGTTTTTAAAGTGATATTAATATCATTTTCCCCCATGCTGAACCACAATTGATACATCCGGGAACTCTGGCTTACGCAATTCTCATACACTTCAGGTCAACATACACATTTTTCGGCGAAAATGGTAGGAGACAAACACACTAACAAGCTGATTATTGAGAAATTACTTGCTTTACTTTGCTTGACCTGTGGCTTGGATATTATAATATCAGGATGTCGAATACAGTGGTAGCCAGTTTCATCCTGCGTGTTTTGATTTTCTCAACTTATTTGCATGTAAGTATTACTTGAACAGATAATTAGATTACGCCTCTTGTGGAAAGGATAACTAGATTACGCCGTTTTTTTCATCTTCAATATTTGCGGCATAAATGAGGGGCGATAAGGACACCAACAAAGACAATGGTTGGTAGGATATCAAAGAACACAAAAGGGTACGAATTTTTCTTATCGCCCCCGAAATGAGGAATGTAACGTAAATTTTTGTTTAAAACATAGACACCAATGGGGTAGCGTGGTGTATTCTGGGATAGTTTTGAGGTTATTTGAAGAGTTTGTCCTGGATTCGATGCGTTTTAAGTCTTGCGCGCAAAATGGGCATTTAATTGTATCCTGTAAAATAATATGCATTTTTCACTTCCAAAACTAAATGCCTGTCGAAATATAGCACCCCCTTCTGGAGGTTAGTACTCCTTTAAAGGGTGAAAATTTGAGTTTTGAACGATGAGAATTGGGTTTTGAAGGTGAAAATTGGGTTTTGAAGGGTGAAAAATTGAGTTTTGAACGATGAAAATTTGAGTTTTGAACGATGAAAATTGGGTTTTGAAGGGTGAAAATTGGGTTTTGAAGGGTGAAAAATTGAGTTTTGAAGGGTGAAAATTGCGCTTTGAAGGGTGAAAATTTGAGTTTTGAAGGGTGAAAAATGAAGTTTTGAACGATGAAAAATTGAGTTTTGAAGGGTGAAAATTGGGTTTTGAAGGGTGAAAATGGGTTTTGAACGGTGAAAACTGACCCGATGAAGCCTTGTTGAAGTTGTACCTTTGGTCTTTCGTACATGTATCAATAATGTAGGTCACAAAACAAGAATGATCCTGTGACGCTGGTTGGGCCGAATCTCATGCATGTGAGAGTGCAGATAATATAGTTACTCCATCATTGTTATAAGTCATACATATATGGGTATCACCATTCTGGGCAAAGCTTGATAGATTTCTAAAATTTCTTGACATAACTGCACTTTGGTACTGTTCTGTGTAATTTCCACTATGATAGTGGAAATTATATTGTATTTTATTTTCGTTGTAAAGATTCAAACGAAGTCTACTAGTGTGTAATTACATTAAATATGTTTTCATAGGCGTTCGTGTGTGTGTATGTGTGTGTATGTGTGTGTGTGTGTGTGTGTGTGTGTGTGTGTGTGTGTGTGTGAACACGATAACTCAAGAAGGCTAACTTTTGGATTGTCTTGATATTTGGTAACTGTGTAGGACTTGATAAGACGTCAAAATGATAAGATTTTGGGCCCCCTAGTGGCTTGTTATGGTACTGCAGCTGAACCTCCGGTTTTGATATCTTGTGATCTGGACATGCTAGGTTCATGAAATGTAGATGGTGGACAGCTCTTGTGCTGGGAATGAAGTGACATGAGTTTGAGCTCCCTAGCGCTGCTTGCTCTGGAACTGCAGTGGCGTTAGTTGAAAACTGTTTAAAGGCTGATAACTCAAGAACCGATTGATGGATTGTTGTGATTTTTGGTATGTAGGTAGCTGAAGCGATGCTTGACATAATAATATAACAATTATGCAATATGGATGTAATGTGCATACTTAATGAGGAAATTCTATAAATCAGCTGCATTCCATGATAGGACAATTCAAGCTTGTGACACGTAATTAAGAACGACAGAAATGCATTGTTTATCATTTATTGTTTATTGTCATTTTGCACATAAAAAAAGTAACAGTATAAAATGAAATTATATACAAACAAATATATGCTGGAGAGCCCAAGAAACCTGTAGGTTTGTCTAGTGGACTCTCCCAAATCCTATTAATTTTACGATCTCTTATTTACATACATTTATTACATTTAATTTAACTGCAATGTATTAAGGGACAAGCAAACAAATGAACTCAAAATAGGTACAAGATAATATAAAGTTAACACGGCGAATTAAATATCTAAACAATAAAGTAAGACAATCAAGAACATATCATATTGAACAAAAAAACAAATTTCCATTAGTCAAATCATAAGTTATTATGAGTAAGAACAACATAAGAAACCAATATTAACACAAAGAAAATATCATAGCATAAGAAAACAAGGAATACAAAAGCAAATCAGGAAGTGGTAGATGGCTTCTCTATCAGGTCAGTTTTTAAATGTCTTTTGAAAGTTGGAAGGGATTGACAATTTTGCTGTGAGTGACTTAAACTGTTCCAAATTAAGGGGCCTCTAAACATTATCGTGAACTGTTTCATATTTGATTTTGTCAGGATCGGTCTTAAATCATTTTGCTTTCTAGTACTGTAACTGTGGATAGCTGAGTTGTATTGAAATATGTCCTGGAATTGAACTGGTAATTGTGAACTTTTGTGTAAAACTTTGTGGACAAAAATTGCTGTTTGGAGTTTGCATGCAGATATCAATTATGCAAATGAGACTTGATTTGCATAATTAATGGAAAAATGTTATAATTCCATAGTGGTAACTACCTGGAATTTCATAACTTGGGGCATTTGAAAGTTAGGTGAAGGTGAACATCATTAAACATTAGGCCACACTGACTTAATTTTCTGGATGACATCCTCTGAAGACCTACAAACTAGTGCGCACGGGCGAATAAAAAAAAGTTCCGACCAAAAATTAAAATGCTACTAAATCACAGGAATACAAAGCTGGTATTGTGAATTCACGGCAGTACATAGCGACGTATACTACAAGCCGGCACATGCTGGCTTTTTGCGGAATTTATGAATCGGCACTGTACGTATATACTGAGTTCAAGTTGAGTCGTGGAGCTTCGGTAACCTGGGCTCCGTATTGTAGCTAGCTGTCATGGACTACCCAGGCCTAGAGCCAGGCCAGAGCCTCGGAGGCAGAACAGGCGAAAATCAATGCGCGAGCGGATGTCATCCATAAAATTAAGGCGGTGTGGCCTTACTTATTCAAATAAGGACTCCATTTGCATAATTTAAAAGGAAATATTATAATGGCATTCTTTGTTAAGATAAGATTTCTTTTGGTGTAGAATATGATCAACAGATATAATCAATGCAATTGAGGATCCTATTTGCACAATCAGGGGGATTAATTTATAATTTTATTGTCATAAAGGCTAACATCATTTGGCGAAGGTATGAGATCGTGGAACTCTAGTTGCTGTATGTTTTTACAAACAGAAATTACCACCATGGCCTGTAAGGACGATAGCGTAGAGTATGACAGAGTTTACCAGTATGTTGTTGCGGTTTATCTCTCTACAAATACTCGTATCAACGAATGTACAGCTGGCACGGACAACTGCAACATTGATACAACCTGTCTAGCTTTACATTTCACTATTTACTGTGTACCGTTCTTTTATCAATAATGTAGGTCACAAAACAAGAATTATATTTTCCTTGACAAGAATGATATTTTGCAGAAGTTCAGGGCTGGGAGATATAGCTCATCAGTGATGACCCATTTGGGCTGTAAAGTTTGTAGCAAAAGAGTAAAAGAGTAAGGTGGAGACTACTAATATGTTCTTGTGGTTTGTTTCACAGATATCGACGAATGTGCAACTGCCACAGTCACAGACAACTGCCACAATGATGCAACCTGCACTATCACAGACGGCAGTTTTACCTGTTCTTGTGACGCTGGTTGGGGTGGCTGTACATGTAATCCTGGTAAGAACAAGCGAGTTAAGTGTACATCTGTAAAATATAATGCTGTCACTGTGTCGGCTATCAGCTATACAGTATGTACACTACTTTAATTGAGTTTCATTTTACAAAATCCCTTACAACCTTTTTAACAATACAAAAGACCATCCTATTGCAGAAAACAATCCACTTAATTCAGATAACAATTCACCGAATTTATCCCCAGCCCCTGCAATCTCTTCTGCCCTTGATTCCCTGATAACTGCGGAAGACCTAACCGGTGCCATTTCAAATGTCAAGAATAACAAATCTAGTGGAAATGATATAATTTTAATCGAAATATTGAAATCCGGTAAACTGATATTGAAAACTCCACTTCTCCAACTATCTGATACTTGTTTACGTAACGGATATGTAGTGGATACAAAATAAAGTATTCCTTACCTCTCCTTTTTATGTTACAGAACAATTGGAAAATCTCCAGGTAGGACATACATGATTGTCTTAATGATTTCATCTTTGAACTGCTGTATGGCCATTTGTGTCACCCACTTTTTGTCATTTTAAACATTATACATGTACATACCGGTAGTTTGAAGAACAGCTAAAAATACATAAATCAACAGACTGAACCAAAGAGTTTTTCAGCAGATATTTACCGATAGGTCAGCATCTACAGTATTTATGAAATACCACAGTGACTATGTTCACATTAACAATTGTAATACATTCCTGGGATGGATTTTTTCAATAATGACTTGAGTGATGACTGCATGTAACTAGAAAGGCCAATGTTTGTTTGGGAGCAAATACTAGTACAGCATATATATTTCACCCATTCTTCTTCCCCATTACAAAATAGACTGTTTCATCAACCTTTTCCATAGCCCATTCCATTGTTTGTAACAATTTTTCTCGAAAGCCTCATGGCCTATACAGTGATTTTCAGTGTTCTGAAACCCTCGGTTCTTGTAAGCAACAAATATTTTGAAAACCCCATGTGTTGCTCAAACCCCCATACAGTGCTTTTTAGCAAAAGTATTCTTCGCAGTGCTTTTCCATAACAAAAATTTGGGACCTCATACCTCCATGAAATATGTAGAATTTTTGTAAATGTTTGTTATTTCAGGATTATTGATCATTGAAAAAAGGTCATAATCACCAGAGTTTATTTTGATTTATGGTTTTCTACACTCAAATTACAATATTTTGCATGTGAAATTCCTATCTTTTGTCAATGTTTAATTCTAACATGTCCATATTAATTATGCAAATGACCTCTACGTTAACATAATATATGCATAGTGATGTTTAAGTACCTTACGCATGTCAAAAGGTAAAAAATTTCCATCATTCACCATAAGTAATTATAAAATTTTCACATTAATTATGCAAATTAGGTCATTATTTGCATAGTTTGTATCTGCCATAGATGACATGCATTACATGTATGAAAGTATCATTACATAATACAGAATTTTCTCATAAATTATGCATATTAAGTCTTCTTTTGCATAATTTGCATTTAGTAATGTACATCTCTCTATTAGCTACCTACATACCAAAAATGATGAAAATATGTTGCTCCTTTCTGGACTTTTCTGCTAAAAAGATTTTGCCAGGAACTCCCCTGCAGTCCCAGAACAAGCTGCTAGGGGGACAAAACCCACACCACATATTCCTGACAGGAAAAGCTCTGTCAACCAAAAATCCAAGACCATAGCATGTTCAGGACAAAAGATACAAAAACCGAAAGTTCTGCTGCAGTACCAAGGTCAGTCACCAGGAGGCCCGCATTTGACCTTGACTTTTGTCTTCTTATAACCTGTGTACCAACATACCAAATATCATCACAATCCATAAAGGCGTTATGAAGTTATGCTGACTACAAATGTGCAGAAACACACACACACTCACACACACACACACACACTCACACACACACACACACACACACACGTACACACACGCACACCAAAACAATACCTCTATTATTCATGGAGTTAGAAATATTCTCAAAACCCCCGATACAGTGCCTTATGAAAACTTAAGTGTTCTAGAAACCCACAAAGAGGTGATTTTCAGTAACCCCAATGTGATGCTTTGTATCTGCTTAAAGATTACCTTTCGATGCCACCCAGTATCTGCTTGAAGCACAACAGCAAGTTGTCATAGCCACAACACATTTGAATAAAGGAGACACATCCGAAGGTTTGTAAGCTGAGTTGGAGCAGGGGTCAGGGGTACTTTATAATCATTGTCACCAGAACTGTGTAAGTTAGCCCAGATGTGTACTCCCTGAAATTTGGTGGGACGTAACAGTTGTAATGCACTCAGTCATTTCATTTTCTATGATTCTGCGACATTATGGTGCACCTGTTTACCAATTTAGAAATCTGCACATCAGAGGTAATAATGAATATTTCTCTCTCACTATCTCCAGTTGCAGTTTTCCCCACAAGATCTTGGCGATGATCTGGCTTGGACAGATTCTGAAGTACTTCTTGATTCAGAACCTACGACTGATGCTGATGCTGGTCCTTGTACTCTACAGAGTGTCAGATACCATAGCCCAAACATCCTGACTGTGGACCTCTTAACCTACGGTAAACAGATCAACGGGTTTACTATATACTAGTAAGCCTGTAAGGTCGTGTTTAAGTGGAATCACCCAAACCGCGATTCGGGTAACTCACATTCCTCACATCTGGTCCACGTGCCACAAACCGTGTCCGATCACAATTCGCTTGAGCTACATTTACTGCTGTTTGATGCTAAGACGCAAGGTGGCGTGTTATTAATGTTAGAGGTCAACGACCTGCTTGCTGAGGCCCCCCTCCCAGCGTATCTCGGCCGAATGCCGACGTCGGGCCCTGAGGTCGGGCCCTGAGTTTACGACAGATTACGTCATGATACCTGCAGCTTGAACGTTGGAGAGTTGAAAATAACGACGTTATCTGTCGTAAACTCAGGGTCCGACCTCTTTTGCGGGCAGTTTTTTTAATCCAACATGGCCGCCGATTGCCGAGTATTTGTATGGAGTTACGTGCTCCGAGGCCGTGTTGTGGTTAAATGCTGCGTTTGTTTAGGGTCTTATACCCCCGGCTCGGCAGGTGAGTGCGTCGGGAAGCCAGGGACACCAAAAATCCGGGGCCGGCCCGTTGCATGAGGCCCGGCACGGCAAAGGTTGGTTTGGGCCTATGGAGTGCACCACGACTCTGTATCCGACATTATCATGCAAAAAGGATTTCCAGAGTCGTCCACGGCTACCCGTAATCCATGACCAGGCGAAGCTACATTGAAATCACATTGCGTTCAGACGCAAATCGCGATGCGGGAAAACCGATTCGAAACCACCTCTAGAAGTGTCTTGGGATCGAGGCGCTTTCAATGTGATTTCGGAGCGTTCACATGGAGCCACTTGAAACCGGCTTCGGGGTAAACCACATGTAAACCGCCTTGGGTGATTCCACTTAAACACGGCCTTAATTGGAGGACTGTACGGCTGTGTCTCATTGCTAATAAAGATGTCAGAGGTTCAGTGCCTATGATGTCCCCTGTGTTCATGAGACACAGCCATGTTAATTGGGTTTGACAGCAGTACAGTCCTCCTTAGAACCTCAACCTGCTGTGGAACCTGACACTTAATTTCCCCTGTAACAACACTGGTGAGGAGACAGTGGACAGCCATCTTGCCATGGCCTGGCTTTCTACTGCAGATATTGCTGGTTATGTTGTAGAGGTTGAACAAAAATGGAAAAGACCAAAAAAATAATATTTACATATTTACAAAGTGTACATTTTTTGGGATTATTGAAATAATAGAATGAAGACCTTTATTGTACATTTGTGTTCTACAGAACTAAGTACAGGTCGCATGGGTACAGAACATGAACATAAACATATACATTATAAATATATGAACATATAAGAGTGTAAATAAATGTCTAATTTCTATTCTTTTCGGCTTCATCTCGCTTGGTAGTGATTGTATGGATATATGCGGCTGTGAGATTACTTAGAGTAGGTTTATCAAAAGTTAAAAGGAATACAAATTTCTCTAGTCACAATACTAGTCAAATAACTAAAGTGGAGAAATATACTTAATACATGGCTAAAAAATATGAGTCTGTCTCTACTATACAAGGGGCAATCTATGGTGACATGTATTTCATCTTCTATTTGGCCTAAACTACAGAATTGACAGGTTCTTTGTTCTAGAGGAGTGCGGTTATGTCTTCCTGATTCGATTCGTAATTTGTGACAACTGATTCTTATTGAAATATTAAACTGATTAATGTAGTAGTAACTTCTGAGATGTATGCTCTGTTTAGCAGTAAACTAGGTTTTTGTTCTTTCTTGGTATGATTAAAAAGAACATATAGAAGGAAAAAGATCTACAGAATGGCTAAGACATCAGCATGAAATTGTCATGTAAAACCTAAATGTTTGGAGCTCCTCAGTAACGGTAGAAACTTAAGAAATGGAAGAAGTTGTAAAAGTTGTGAAGCATTTATCATATGATTGTGCATTTTGTTCTCCTTGAGTGCAGTGTGTCTACAATACATTTACTGGATAGTTCAAACAGTTACAAATGTACATTTCTTGCAGTTGTATCAAACATAAAAAGGTTTATGTCGTGTGAAAGGTGCTCAGGCCAGGTACCAATTCTTCTAACTTTCAGACAAGTAGAACAGATAAGTTGTGGTTTGTACAATATCAATGGTATTTTAAGCAAATGCCTTTGACAAAAAGGTTTAAAGGTACATGTCTAGTACTACAGATTGACTGACCATCAACTTAATATACATTTGTACAGTATCTTCATTCCACCTTATGTGAATCTAACAATAAACAGAATTTGAGACAATCCAACAGAAAAAAAATATGGGCTTGCTTTGTCATACTTCATTTCAACATGTCCTCATTAATTATGCAAATGACATCTACATTAAAGGTGCCCTAAGCGATATCTGGCAGATAGTAGGCTGGGAGCATTCAATTTCAAAAGTCTGTCTTTTTGTCACATTTTCACGTAGTATCAACCCTATCCTATCCCATAACGATAGTCATGGAGCAAAAATTCGATGCCGCTTTGCGTACGAACGCCGTGAAAAACTACGTGCCTCCCGCCGCCGGCAGTGGTGTCGGCCATTTTTGAAATTTCCGAGCGCTCGCGAACACTTCCGACTTCTTCCGACCAGAGCCGAGGACGAGTCACGTGGTTTACCGCGACCTTTCCGAACGCGCCGAATGAGTCGAACCGCAGGTTAGCCTCTACCAGGCACCGCGGAACGCGTTATTCTCTAAGGTACGGCATTTGCCGGGTCACGATTTGACCCCGTTGTAAGGGTGTAAACCACTGCCTATATTGTAACAAAAATACCTCACATAATGTTTATACGTAATGTTTATACTTTCTCCGTATCTGCAGGATTTGCCGTGTACAACCATATAGATATTTTGCAAAATGACAGCGAGCGCTACGGCCTTCCAAATATTAGCAATTTTTGGTCAGTTTATTGTGTTTGTCTTTTTTGCTGTTCGACTGGATCCCGTTAGCTAATACCACAGTGTGATAGCCCACTTCTTCTTTTTTTAAAAAACTTTTCGACATGACTGAGACATAGACAAAGGAAGGGGAATAGAAAAAGGATGTGCCACACTTCTTCGCCTTTACTTTGATACCAAAGACCCCCGGTAAATTTTAGGTTTTTAGGCAAACGGGTTTGCCCCCCAAAAAACTATGACGATGCGCACATCGCGGTGGTCAAATTTTAGCCCAGTTGTAAGCTAATGACACACACCATCCTGAGTTTCCGCTACATTTTGATACATTTCGCATTATGTCATAAAATTCGTTTCTTGGTATGACAAACTTTTCGAAAATGTGGCTACCACATGCAATATAATAGGTGATATGATAACATTCAAGTATATACAAAAAGAGGAATTTAATACAAGGTTCTGACCATTCAAAAATCGTCAAATTTGAAGTCAATCGGTTTCGAACTCCTGCGTTCGATCCATGGAACCAAGGCAGCGCGTTCCATTTTTTGCCGGGGCGTGCCGGGGCTTAGTACCCTGTTTAATTCCACGGTGTTGCAATGTTCCATCAGTCACGGGGTACAACCTACGTCACGGGATGGCCAGACACATTCGGTGGTGGGAAGGATCTATCAGCCGCGACGCGCAGACCCTTTCTACGCGGGGCGGAGAAATCAGCCGCCCGCGCGTACCGTGGCCGACCAGAACAAAATTTTACACCGCAACTTTTGGTGTTTTACACCGCAACTTTTGGTGTTTTACACTGCAACTTTTGGTGTTTTACACTGCAACTTTGGGTGTTTTACACTGCAACTTTTGCTGTGTTTTACACTGCAACTTTTGCTGTGTTTTACACTGCAACTTTTGCTGTGTTTTACACTGCAACTTTTGGTGTTTTACACTGCAACTTTTGCTGTGTTTTACACTGCAACTTTTGCTGTGTGGAAAACTTACACCCCTCCCCTTTTATAATGGACGGTCCCCCTGTCAGGTCAAAGGTGACAACGATGGCATGCAAACTACGTCGACTGAGTTATCCTTTTCGTGCATAAGTTTTTTAGAGGAAAAGCTTGGCTACGTTGTGACGTTAGTTTTTTTCTAAAGGTTTTTCTAGCTTTGGCCTATAGATCGGGATAAATTTAAAAATGTTTCGACCAGGTCCAGTGATTACAAATTATGTTGCTTTTTGCTGCCATGCGTCACAACAAATTTATCAAGGACGTCAGATATCCAGCTCCAGACATGTTCCAACTTGATACCAGACTTTTACTTAGTTTGATATCTAGTGAATGTTGGTAACGTTTGCACCGCTACGTGTTGATGTCGACGCATGGTATGATAGAAATGATGTCTGTCTGAAGGCGTAAATATTTAATTAGCTTAAACTATCGTGGCATGGTGTCATAAACGCTTGCATGCGGCGATATTCGACTTCCACGTTTCCCCGCGTTTGAGCCATCTTTGTCACCTTTGACCTGACAGGGGGGACCGTCCATTATAAAAGGGGAGGGGTGTAAGTTTTCCACACAGCAAAAGTTGCAGTATAAAACACAGCAAACGTTGCAGTGTAAAACACCAAAAGTTGCAGTTTAAAACACCAAAAGTTGCAGTGTAAAACACAGCAAAAGTTGCAGTGTAAAACACAGCAAAAGTTGCAGTGTAAAACACAGAAAAAGTTGCAGTGTAAAACACCCAAAGTTGCAGTGTAAAACACCAAAAGTTGCGGTGTAAAACACCAAAAGTTGCGGTGTAAAACACCAAAAGTTGCGGTGTAAAATTTTGTACTTGTCGGCCACGGTACGCGCGGACCAATCAGCCGCATCGCGCAGACCAATTCGACGTCACGCAGACCTATCAGCTGCGCGCGCGGATATTTCAGCCGTGGGGCGGCGCCATCAGGTGTCTCCCAGCTGCTTCCAGTGACCGTTGAAGCACCCGCAGCAAGGTAGGTCCTCCACAATTTCCTCTTCTGGCGTTATATAGAGACAGCGACTGCTTTTCTAACTAGGCCTATCAGGTGGCGGACTATCCAAGGGTCATCCGAAGCCAGAAATAATCGGCAGGTCTTAAAATTAAATCGAGATATAGGGAGCACAGTCCAACATCGGCGACACATCACGTCCATATT